ATTACCTGTGGAATTTAGAAGAATAGCCTTACACCGACATCCTTCCAGGGCTCTGCCACTCCTATAACTACCATCCATAGCAGGATAGTGCATCTGAACACCACCACAAAAGACACCAGCACTAGAAGAGACAATATCTCTGTGTGTATTTATGGCTATGTACAGGCATCTCTGAGCCCTGAAAAGCTTGAGCAGCAGATGTTTACTCTGCTGAATTGGTCTGCAGCCCTTTTTCATAAGCCACACATTCATGTCCATTCTCACACTCCCATCAGCAGCAGTAACTCGACAGAGGGTTGGGCAAAAATGAGAATTCAAAGGCAGTGAGTCCAGTAGTCAAATGCAGTTACCCAGCCTGAACACTGCAACTCCACACCTGGGGTATCCAAGATCGGCTTCCAGGAGAACAACCAGCTTCTGCCATGTAGTGTTCAAGCCTTAGTTCCCCCCAGGTCAGATCTCTCCCACCCCACAGCACTTTCATTTCCATTAATGAAAGTTGCCACGCTGTGTTACACCCAGGGAACAGTAAGCAGACAGCCATGTAGTGACCCTCAGACAGAGTGTTCCTTTGTGGAAGCACAGATAAAGAAAGAACTAGAATTTCTGAGTGCCCTCAAGTATTTACTCCACCTATATTGCAGCAATCTAATTTATAAGTGACAGAGCTATGGATAATTTGCAGCAATCACCTCTGAAACTGCAAAGTGTAACCTCTCTACCACGTATGGACACCAAGCACAAAGACCTTTTGAACATGAAAAGCTGCAGCTCACAGTTTGGTTTCAAGGTCTTCCAGTCTGATCAGGTTTAACAAGAAAGAACCCTCCAGCTGGCTGTCTCAGAAATAAATCAATGCAGATAATTAACTTATTATTATCATGAGAATTGATTAGCATAAAGAAACAAACAGTGGAACTACCATACACACCACATTTATACTTGCTGTCCACATGTTGCACCTATTCCTCTGCTCTTTTTCCTCCAACAACCATCAGAATAATTATTCTCAGAGAGCATTAACTACAGCTCAAGCTGCAGGCATAATTTACACTTCCTTGGAGACCCAATTATAGGTTATAGGAAACAGCTCTGAAGACAACCTCCCACTCTACAGTTTCATATTTATATAACTAAACCCCTCATTGTTTCACTTGCCTTTTGGATCTGGCAGCTGAACAACACAGTGCAATGGGATGACTAACTTTAAAACCATTTTAAGATGACTAAATATATACACTATGAACAGTTTTTGTCTTTAGAATAACCTTCCTACTTCTGTTTTTAGATGTAAAACTTTTACGTGGTGTTAAGTGGCTCTAATTAAAGCAAGAGGGTATTTTCCTTCAGAGTTAATAGATGCAGTGCATTGCATCACTTCCTTGTATGAGTGCACCAAAAAGTATTTTGAGGGTCCTGGAGACACCACAGCTGTACCAACACCAAGGCAGCCAAACTGTCTCACTGTAAGCCTAATTATGGTTTAAAGAACTCTGTTATTTTTTTATTTTTTTTTTAATACAGACTAAGTACAAGCTAAGGCACTGTGTGTTGACACCTGGAGTCTCCTTAAGCCAGTACATCATGCTTCTTATGCCAGAACTTCACACTGGAAGTGAGCCTAGAGCCAAAAGAGTCCTAGAGCTCAAAATCCTTTTCTTGAAATAAACCCCTTTGAAGATATCTCTGACCACATTAAATGTAACTATGACCAATGCCTGGCTGACATTTGGATGTGCCTCACTAACAAGCATTCACAATTAGGGACACATGGTTACATACAGCTCACACCATACTAGCTGAAGAAAATGTTTATTTTCAGGAGTAAATAATAAGATGCAGCAAGTGGACACCTGTCAACAGTTGAAGTCAGATGTATTCTCTTTAAAAGTCTGTTTTTCTCTTAGTTTTATCCAATTAGTTTGCATTTCCCATTTCCATACCAGGGAAATGGGTAACATAACGCAGTTACATTTCTTAGCATTAAGGTAACATAACCCAAGCGTAGACAGTTTTTTACTCATGTAAAAATGCGGATAGAAATTATCCATTCATTTTCCATATTTTTTGTTATCCAACCTAGAGAAGTACAAAAGGGCAAAGAACATTTTTAAAATAGAATTGCATAAAAACCCACACAAGTTCAATACAAAAACATGATAAAACTAAATGTAACACTTCACAAAGCAATTTACAAAGCTGGGCAACTACTAATCACATTTTACTAATATAAAGTGTAACTTAAAGGTTAGATTAATTATCCAATTCAGCCACAAACAATCTAAATAATACCAGGACTTAATATCAGTTAGCAGAAATCTCAAGGTGTTCCAGTATATCTTTACTGATCTACCTTGTTCTCAGGGGTCTAAAGTGTGATTGAGCAGTGGTTACCTATGACTTTTTTCTTCCTTAAGGAAAATAAAACCAAACCAACCAATCCTTTAGCAGAGACAGTCTTGCAAAAACATGAGCTACTCACAACAACACACCTAAACTGGTCCTCCTTTTGCAACTTTCAAAATTAATATTTAAAACACTGAAACAATTTAAATAATTTAACAACTTACAGAGAAGAAGATTTTCAGAAATATGGTAAGGAAAAGAAAAGAAAGACTGAGAATCTTAAAGTTCCCTTCATATAAGAAGCATATGTAGGAGCCAAACTCACAAAGATATCTTTCTTTTTCCACTCAAATTACTTCCAAACTCTCAGTTCTCACAGCTATACACATTCTGACATGTATGCAGCTTCTCCATATGAGCTCTGGCTATCTCAGAGCTTCCTTTCATGAGTCACCTTAAACACACATGGGTATAAAAGTAAGTTCTAACACCAACACCCACCAAATATCAGGACCACTTACCTCCAGCTTCTCAGCAATTTCAATACAACAACAATAAACTAGAAAAGAGCTTTCTGTTATGAGAGTACTTTACTTACACTTGTAGTAAAGCAGCATACAGAAACCTGCAAATTCAAGTATGCCTTTTGTAACAAATATCAGATTAACTTCACTTGGAAATACATTTAATTTTTCCTTTCTTACACTTTCTTGAAGAATCTATAGTGAGTAAGGAACACATTATTCTTACAGGCAATGTCTTATGTTTACTCAGCTAAAGCGGTTTAGCACTTGCATGTACAGTTTATTATTAGCACCTATGCATGATCATACTTCAAGATAACACTGAAAACTGAGTTGGCATTGTACTGCCCATAACTCAGCAATCAGTGCAGATAAGACAAGCAACATTTAGCATCACGTCAGCACAAGAGCTCACAAATTTATCCTGCCTGACTTATGGTGGCAGCGGTTTCAGTCGTTGACTTAATTAAGAGACACAGATGTTTTGGTTTTGCTGCTTTCCTTGCTCATATATTAACTGAGTCTCTGCACCTGGTGTCTCACTTCATTTACCAGGTCATCACTGTTCATTATTTTTCTCTGATCCTACTCTTTCCCATAGAAATTCCTTGCCTATAAGAGAATGAGGAAGTAAACAGAGAAACTTCAAGAATGCAGAAATAAATGAGTATTTATTTCATTTTAATATAGACAAAGAATTACTGATTTGCTTGGATTCTTGATCCAGCTTGAACAAATATCTAATATTTTAACAACTACAATAAAGCTGTACTTTATCCAAGATCACCAAGTGGTGGAAGTTCACTTTTCCACTTGGCAAACAGAAACCAAGAGGAGAGAGGAACAGCTGAAATGCCAAATAAGAATACATAACAAGTAATGGAGGGCTTGTTTCAACAGCATTTTTTTATGGAGTAGACCCCTCAGACTTTAGGCCTACTATGACAACATTAAAAATTTTAAGGGGACATTACTTGAAATGAATTCTTTGTTGCCTTTATCTTCTTCTCCTGCCTTCATATCTTTTTCTATCTGTACCCTAAACACAAACATCCCTTCTCCTTTGCCATTAAGTCATTCCCTTTTCCTTGAGTTTTGTGTTTTGCTAACCTTTCAACAGCAACCTCTTCAACTGTTTGTTCTCAAACCTGAAGTAGTCTACATTGTGTTATCAATTCTGATTACCATCACCTCAGGGAAGGTATTTTTTTTTTTCTACATGTTTCTAAAATCTGCTACGGAAAAGATAACAAATGATGCCTCTTACTCAACTAAAGCTCAAAGCCTATGAAAGTACAACTAACCCATATGCCTTTGCTCTTCTTATAAATTAGTAATGAGTCTGGAATGCTTTCCCACAGCAATTAAGACTCATTCAGTTACAATTACTGTATTCTCTCATATTAGTTTTAATCCAAAAGAAGTTACATGTTTTCTTTTAACATCACTACCAAAAACTGCACTAATAACTTCAGGATTTCAAAAGGCACAGCCACAAATGCTTCTCATCCTTATGAGTTTACTCAGCTTCTTAGGGTGAGTTACAGCCTCAAGTGTGCAGGGAGAGAGAAACCACATTTACAAAGGAGATAAAAGGAAGAGTTTCAGTGCACTAGAACACACATATTTTAACAACAATTATTATGACCTCTAATAGAAACCAAGAACCGGATGTTTTGTTGGTGTTATTGGGGAGACACTGAAGCAGGGGTGAGGGAAGGACAAAGCTATCACCACCACCGGTACCATAGAAATGTCCAACATGTCAAAAAGATTGCAAAAAGATGCAGCTTGGAAACTACCTTGTAGCATTTATTCATTTATTAAGCTAAGAAAACCAAATATTCATAATGTCACACTTGATAACTGAAACCTAGTCCATTCTGAAAAATGTTAAATGTTGCCTGACTGTGTCATTTCTCTTCAAAACACTGCTGTTGGATGAAAAACATAATGAAGAAGGCTTTTTCTCAATCCACTCTCTGCTCATACAAATCTGAACTGTCCTAATTTATCAGTTTAAAGTAGTGCTGTAGAAGAATAGGCTTCAAAAAGTACTTCTGAATCCACCTATTTTTATAATACTGTCATGCAAAGAGCACAAGCCAGAGATCCTTCATACAATATTACCTTCATACAGAACTTCATACTGAGTGGGAATGTAGCTGTATCCTTGAATCAAATCCGGAAGACAGTCCTTACAGAAGGAATGAAGGCAAGGCAGCATTCTGGGGTCTCTCCTACTCAGGTCCCATTTGCACACCAAACAGTTCCTCAGCAGATCCAGGGTCTCCATTTCTGTTGGCTGACGTCTGACATCAAAAACATGAAGAGTCACAAAATGGCTCATGACAAGCCCTTCACAAAACACTTGATCACTCAAGCGCAAACTAGAAGGCAACAGCGGGATGAACGATCAAACAAACAACATTAATTTAGCCCTTGTGCAAAAAAGAAGAAGTTCCTCTCAGCTGAAAATCACATACCTGCTTTACAGAAAAGAATATCTTTGCAGATTGTTATGCAGGAAAGTGTGGTTTAAGGTTTACAAACCATGATCCCACTATCTCTCTAGTATTTGCTACTTCTGTAAAAACTGAACTAATCTGTTCTATTGATCTACTTACAAAGCTGCTACCGGGCTGAATTGTCACACACTGTACATTTCCTGCTAGAAGCACTGAAACTGTGCAATAGAGATGGCGATATTCTCTGACCATTTTTACAATTTCACCTAAATATTTTACAGTTTTCAGGTAAAGCAAACAATGACCATAGCTGATCATGCGCCCATCGCTTCAGCAATGCACGTTAGAAAGTTGCCCTGAAAAGTGCACAGCATCTTCTGCCAATCTTCTTCATAGAAAATGCACTTCACAGTAATCAAATTTTGACAATCAAGATGACCACAGAACAGATTATAAACAAAACTTAAGCTTCCCACAAGCAGGACAGGGTTCCTCCTGCCAACCTAAGCTCCGCAAGGTCAACTGAGAGTTTTGCAGCTCACGTTTTACCCTCTGTTCTGAGATTGTGAGAGATGTTGATCAGATACAACCTGCAAAAGGCAACTTCTGCAAGTTGCATCAGAGGAGAAAAAGCAAAAAAAGTTTCCTCTGGAGTCACCCTTCTATCTGATCCAGCCTCCTGGGACCAATAGCCATGACATGGTGGCCCTGCCACCAGCAGTATGTAACTGAAGCTACAACATCCAGACTTCCCCAGCACAGAAAAGCAGTAGCTCTAATCTTAGGGCCATCTATTCTCTTGAAGGATTCTGTCTTGTGGGAGATTCCAGTTAGTAAGCGGCTCTGTTTTGTTTTGGGTTTTTTTTCTACAAGGCAAAAAATTTATGAGAGTCTCAGAAATTCACAGCCAGAAAATTTTTAAGGGTTGCATCCTGAAGTCATTGGTAGTTAGAATATTTTAGAGAAAAAAATGGACCCTATGTTAAAGTCTGTATCATATTTCATACCCAAGACCTGTTCTGGGTAGATATCCACTGACTTGACTGACAAATTACTTAGACAAATTCAAACCTACCACTAAAACTTAAGATTTTAATTTCAAAACTAGAGGTCTCTAGAAATTATCTGTGAATTGAATTGGCAACTGTACCTATGATTTAACTAATATTATATTGGTGCTTATTACACAAACTTACTTTTTACAATGCATCTTCATCAACCATCTTTCAGAGGCAAATGTCACTAGAGCAGCACAGCCTCTCAGCTCGCTCCATCTCTGTTGTTTCTTGCAAGTGCTGTTGCTAAGACAAACCTACACCCACAAAAACATGTCATTTCTGCAGTAGGAAGTTGAGGTCTTAGACTACCGCATTGTTTAGACAGAAAAACCACAGCCCAGGACCGAAGCATCCCTGCACAGAGAATCAGTGCAAACAAAGCCTGATACTGGGAAACGCTGCATCACCCTAAAGGCCCAACCTGTGGCTGGAGGAGCAGACCAAGGTTACCCTACAATTTAATTCATGCTTTTTGCATTACACAGAAAACTATGTATAAGCTTTTTTGACAGGAGAGGGAAGAGAGCGATAAAAAGTGTTTAAAATTTCGTGCTGAGACAGGTATGCAAATTAGTAGTCTGGCAGATGGAGGAAGAGAAGGCTGAGGTACTTAATGTCTTCTTTGCCTTTAATAGTTAGACTAGTTGTTCTCTTGAGTACTCAGCCCTCTAAGCTGAAAGAGAGAGATGTGGAGCAGAGTGAAACCTCTGTAAGCCAAGAGGAAATGGTCAGCGACCTGCTACATCACTTAGGCACACACAGGTCTATGGGGCTAGATGGAATCCGCCCAGTTGTACTGAGGGAGCTGGTGGAAGTGCTCACTGAGCCACTCTCACTCATTTATCAGCAGTCCTGGCTAACTGGGGGGCTCTCAGTTCACTGGAGGTCAGCAATTGTGACACCCAGCTACAAGAAGGGCTGGAAAGAGGATCCAGGGAACTACAGGCCTGTCAGCCTGACCTTGGTGCTGGGGAAGGCCATGGAGCAGATCATCTTAAGTACCATCTTGTGACACTTGTGCAATAACCAGGGGATCAGATCCAGTCAGCTTCTGTTTATGAAAGGCTGGTCCTGCTTGACTGACTTTATCTCCTTCTATGACAAAATGACACACTTAGCGGATGAGAGAAAGGCTGTGGCTGTGGTCTATCTAAACTTCAGTAAAGTCTTTGACACATTTCCCCCACCCATCTCCTGGAGAAAATAGATGCACATGGCTTGGATGGGTGTACTCTTGGCTGGAGTAGGAACTGGCTGGGTTTTTGGGCTCAGACACTGGTGGTAGATGGAGTTACATCCAGCTGGCAGCTGGTCATCAATGGTGTTCCCCAGGGCTCAGTGTTGGGGCCAGTTCTGCTTCATTTCTTTATCAATGATTTAGACAAGGGGACTGAGGGTACCCTCAAGTCAGTTTGCAGATGATACCAAGTTGGGTGGGAGTGTTGATAAGCTGGAGGGCAGGAAGGCTCTGCAGAGGAATCTGGACAAGCTGAAACAATAGGCTGAGACCCTGAGGTTCAACAAGGCCAGGTGCTGGGTCCTGTTCTTGGGTCACAAGAACCCCAGGCAGCTCTGTAGGCTGGGAGCAGGGTGGCTGGAAAGGGGCCAGGTGGAAAAAGACCTGGAGGTGCTGTTTGACAGCAGCAGACTATGATCCAGCAGTGTGCCCAGGTGGCCAAGAAGGCCAATGACATCCTGGCTTGGATCAGAAATAGAGGGGCCAGAATGACTAGGGAAGTGACTGTCACCCTATACTCAGCACTGCTGATGCCACACTTAAAATACAATGTCCAGTTCTGGGCCCCTCACTACAAGAAAAATGTTGAGGTTCTGGAGCAAGTCTAGAAAAAGCCAATGGAGTTGGGGAAGGGTCTGGAGCACAAGTCCAGTGAGGAGAAGATGAGGGAGCTGGGGATGGCTCAGGGGAGACCTTATCACTTTCTACAACTACCTGAAAGGAGGCTGTAGTAAGGTGGGGGTCGGCCTCTTCTCCCAGCAAGAGATAGCACAAGAGGATACAATCTCAAGTTGTGCCAGGGGATGGGATATTAGGAAACATTTCTTCACTGAAAGGTTTGTCAAACATTGGAACAGGCCACTCAGGGCAGTGGTGAACAAGGCAGGCCACAGGACAGAAATAAAGGAAGACCAGGAGAACAGGGGAGGCACCTGGCAGGCAGTCACACCCAGAATGGGAAGCAAAGTGCTTTAGGTATGGCACCCCAGAGGAGGGCAAGGAAAGGCAGTGCACTGGGGCTGCCTTGGGATCAAAAGGTCAGTCATGGCCTTGGGAAGGAAACAACCACCCCAGCAAAAATTGATGGCAACCATACAGGTATCTCAGGACTGGAATTTCCAGCAAAGCATTAATGCATTTCAGACAAGAGAATTTTGTAATGATTCACTCTTATAACTTTACGATTTCTATATTTGAGGGATGAACTCTCTACAAAAGTCTTTCCATTTCTTTTATTTTTCTCTGATTTAATCAGATTTTTTTTTAATTGCATCTTCTTCTGTTCATCAAAAGTGGATGTTGCTACAGAAGGCTCATTACAGCACTTTGAAATGTTATTAAGAGCAATTTCACCAGTTTTGTCTCTGGGGCAGGGCAGCGTGAGGGGACAGCATGCACCCTACAGCAGTGACACACAAGCCCCCTCCAGCACATCACCTCCTTCCCCAGGCACAGCCCCTCTGGCAGCTACTCCTGCTTGGCAGATTAAACAACTCAACCTCAAACCCTAGGTTTGAATTTTTTCCTCCAGGCAGCTGTGGCACAAGTAGGCACAAGGCACAGGCAGCTACCAAGGGAAGAGAAGTCCTGCCCTGGCCACAGTGTAGGAGTGCCAGGGACAAGGCTCAGCTGTGCAAAACCCCAAGTCCACCCTAAATCCCAGCTGGCCTGCAGCGGGGCAGAGAACAGAGCTGGTGGGGCTGGCACACCTCTCACAAAGAACATTTGGCATGACAAAATATTGCAAGACATAATTTTAAGACATTAAATACCCAAGAATTGAGAGTGGTATCTACTGCGCATATAAGCAAGCTGGTGTCACCTGCCTGTTGTCACGTGTGCATGGGGCACGTCAGTGCTGACTGAACTTTTCCTCACTTCTGATCTGGTCAGGGACGAGTGGCCAAAATCAGGGAGTAACAGCACTCCTTAGTTTGCTGTACCACACAACTTACCTTTGAGGATTGGAATATTTTTGCTTTGACAGTGGATGAAAAGCATTAGGAAACAGTGGTCCCAGCAGTCAATGAGAGACAGTTCACATACTCTTACCTTAGTATTTTAAAAACTGTTCATTTAAGTTACAGTTCTTCACAACTAGCAGTACCACTAAGAGGAACAGTTTTATAAAAGAAATGCATGTCAACTTTACCCTAAAAGCCCTCTAAATTTAATTACTGCCAAACACATCAAGTCCGCTTTTCACAGGCAGCTGTAGAGAAGATCACCAATCAAAGAGCAGCACGAATACAGAATCTATTTTGGTACCCTGTAAAGGCAAAAAGATGAGGTATTTGTACATGCCGTGTACTGGACATTGTAGTCAGGCAGTTTCAAAATAAAGAGAGAAACAGTCAAACCACTGATCAAAAAGTACCAGAAATAACTAAGCAGGTAAGACTCAAGCGTGAACACTGTCTGGACACATCAGAAAAAGAAAACACAAAACAAGCTTCTGTATATCAATTCATTTTACCCATTGTTTTTATTCAAAAAATTTGAATAAAACAAAAACTTTTATGCCACAAGCACACAGGCACCACCAACTTCTTTGATCTTCTCCTCTGCTCTTCTACTGAAGAACTTTGCTTTCACAATTACAGGCTGCTTGGGCAGCTTCCCCTTGCCCAGGACTTTGTAGTAGCCCTAGAAAGATTTAAAAAAGAAGTTCAGTGTTTGTCATCAGCTTGCAGGCTTCTACATTCAGATCTGGTTTTCAACACAGTTAAAACTAAAACTATGATCACCATAACCTCATCCAGACAAGTCAGTACCTATAGAAAGATGCCCTGCATGACCTAGTGGGGTTGCATTTGTTCTGAGAGGAAGTGCAAACTGTAAACCAAAATTCTCCTGTAATTCAGAAGCTGGATGATGCTTCCCCAAATACTCCATATACAAAAACCACTCTGAAGTCACCAGCCTTTCCACATTTTTCTGGCTGTCCTTCCAACACTACC